AAAAAAAAAAGGGCTTCCAAACAAAGTTTCCATATAACCTTGAAAGTCTACCTTTGTTTATAGAAAAGGTACCATGGTCCAACAAGCTTGAGGATGTTAGAAACTTGCAAAATAGAATAAGGTCTAGGCTATTAGAAAGCTGTGCATTGTCAGTTTTTATCCTGTTCTTTGTATTGTCTAATCCAAGATAGTAACGAAAATGTAGCATGAATAGAGTAGATATCTGAAAAAGTTTCTTTATTTTTGTCCTTTTTTTTTATTGGCATGAGAAACCTCCAAAGCATAAGGTAGAATGTATGCTTATTCCTGATAGTTGTCTTGCATATTTCTTGTTTAATTAAAGTTAAAATTTTATACATTATAATCTCTTAGATATTTAGACTTTTATGCTTAATTTAATTTCATGCAGTAAACATTATTATTATTATTATTATTGTTATTTTTTTATGCAATTTATCTTTTATTTGCACTTTAGTTTATCATCAAATAATAATAATAATAATAACATGAATGAAAATTTTTTAGGATGAGATTTTAAGAAAGTTTGAGTAGTGATTCCTTAAAATTTCTATATGAAAATATTTTTCTTAAAAAATACTACCAAAGTAATTGAGTATTTAGAAAAATATTCAATATACAAAATTTTCATTCTTTTATCTTCCTAAAAATATTTTTTAGTTAAATGACTTTATTGAAAAAAAGGATAAAGAAGGAATAATGAAAAAGGAAATTACCCTTCTTAATAATGAAATTAATATAACAATACATGAATGATATTAACTATTTTTATTTTTCAAAAAAAAATATTAATCATTAACCATAATTGAAATTAAAAAACTTTAGAATAAAAAAGTAATTAATTAATTAAATAAGAAAGGAAAAAGTAAATGAAATCTCCGATGATGGGATTTTAGAAAATCTGAGTAGTTATTTATGAGAATTCTCTAAGTGAAAGAGTATTCTAAAAATTATCAAAATATTGAAATATTTATAAGTTTTTTTTCAATACGAAAAATATTTATTATTTTCTTTAATTTAAGATGTCTTTTAGATAAAAATATGTTTTTTAAATAAATGTTTGGATAACAATATTATTACATGTTTTGTTTTATATTAAAGCAAATGAAAAATCTCCAACGATGAGATTTAAAAAAAATTCGAATAATGATTCTTTTTTAATCTTTAAGTAAAAAAATTTATCTAAAATACTGTTAATATATTGAAGCATTTAGATTAATTATCGATAAAAATTTCTTGTTTGTTTTTAAATGTTATTGAAATGATTTTTTTGGAAAATATTATTTGTTTTTAAATTATAGGCATTATTACTTTACAATTTTTTTAGTATAAAGATTGGAAATAAATATGAGTCACCAATGATAGAATTTTTGAGAATTTCGAATAACGATTCTTAAATATTCTTTAGGTAAATTGAAATATTTTATAAAATTTTCAATATGTAAAGTTCATATTTATATTTCAAGCATACTAAAAAATTAAAAATATGTTTTTAAAGAAAATTAAGAAAATTAAATTTTAAATACCAAAACTTAAACAATTTTAATCATAATTAAAGGATAACATAGAATTAATTGGTATGTTTTAAATGACTCTCGTGAGGGTGCTAATCATTTTTAATGCGTAATCGACTCCTGAACCCAAATTATTTCATAAATCCAAAATTATCTTTTTGATAAACTTTTAATTAATTTTAAAATTTTTATTAAAAGAATAAATTTTAATAGGCGATCAATAGTACTTAATAAAAAAAAATTGTGGTAACTCTTTTTTGTTTCGAATTCGTCTAACAAATCTCCAAACCGTTATGACAAATAAATTTACCAATTTTATGTTGTCGAGGGAAAATTTGCTCTCAAATTTTCTTTTTTTTTTTTTCATTTTTGAAGGTGTCCATAGAAAAATTTTGGGATGCATAAAGAAAATTTTTTTTTAATTTTGTTATTTTTCAATTTTGGAAAAATCAATGGACACCTTCCCATTAAAGGTGGCTCCGCCACTGCTAGTAAATGTATTTCTCTCTCTTTTGTCCTAAGGATTTTTTGGGGGAAGGATTTTGGTTTCGACAGTATTTTTTTTCCTTTTTCTTTTTTTTTTTCAGTTTCCTAAATTAATGTTTTTGTTTTGTATACAAGTAGGTGAAGAAAAAAGGTTTATAATCTATCCAACCATTTGATTTTATACAAGTCTTAATGTGGTAACCCATATTTCTCTTTAATTGCCAATTATGATTCTTGGTGATCTTTGTATTATTGGTGACTTTTGTTTTGTGGTTTTTATTTCTTCTTCAAATTTATTAAGGTTGCATCAAAAGAAAATATTGATAAATGGATTTCTCTATTTTTAGTTGATTTAGATTTAACTTTTTGTTTGATTTGAGTTTTGGATTTTGAACACTTGAAATTGTAGATTTTTTCTTTCAAATTTGGTTTAATTTGTTATGTATTTGGGCTTAAATTGTTGATTTAGGGATTAGACTTTTTAAGCATTTAAAATTTACAATAATGAACCACCTATCATGCCACATATACAAATAAATGATCACATGGTATGCTACATGTATAAAAAATATACATTAACAACTTATTTTAAGAAATCATGTTATTTAACATGCATATTATTTATTGTCGTCAAAATATCCTTATTTGATTAATTTAAAAAATGTTAAGTCTTGATTTTAATAAAATTAAACGTTATATTCTTAATTAAGAATTGATCCAGATCCTAAATTAAATATTTAACTTTTTTTTACTATTAGATTTATACATTAATCCTACCATTTGAAACAAGTTAATTAATTTAAAATTTATGTAAACAATTTACTTATTTACGATAAAATAATATCACAATTACAATTTTTTTTTCTCTGCATTAGATTTATAATTTTCATAATTTATTTTGTGTAATTACGATAATTTTTATCAATTTTATGTCAAATTATATATTTTTCGATTCTTCTCCTCATACTTATACATTAAAATTTTAGAATTGTTTAATTTTTAAAGTTTATTCTTTTACATATTGGTATCTACCTTTTTACCATAAACTATATGTTCTTGATATTGCGCTTATACATTTATACCAACATTTGCATATGGTCGATTAATTTAAAATTTATGTTGTTAACTTACTTATTTATGTTAAAAATATATCTTTTATACTTATTCATATTTTTCACTATATTTATAATTTTCAAAACCTTTTCTAGTTTCTTACGATATTTTTTATTCATTTTACATAAAATGTTACTTATTTTTATCTTTCTTTTCATATATTTATGTTAACTTTTTTAATAAAAGCTTTTGTTTACCTTTAAACTTTATTTATTTACATCCATATCCATTTTTTTTACGATATACTATTTTTTTTACAATTGAGCTTATAATTTAAGCGAATATTTTAAAGAGATCTATTAATTTAAACTTTATATAGGCAATTTTTTTATGTTAAATTACTATTATATTACATTTATTTTTACACTCTATTACGTTTATAATTTTGATAATTTTTTTAGTTGATTACCATTTTTAACCCATTTTGTTTATTTTTATTATTCTAATTACATATTTACATTAATACTTTTAATATTCTTTTAAAATCTTACATTTTATTTAGTTACTTTTGTATTGGTTTTTATATTTTAAGATAAATTTAGGCTTACATATTTAAGCTAGAATTTTTAAAAATTCAATTAATTTAAAGTTTACATAAACAACTTACTTACTTATTTGCATTAAAATAATATCAAAATTATGTTTTTTTTTTTTCTACATTATGCATTCATTTTATGTAAAAAAGGTACATTTTTTATTCTTTTTCTCAAATGTTTATGTTAATATATTTTTAAAAAAATTTAACTTTTAAATTTTATTCTTTTATAGTCATATTGGTCTTTTATTTTTTAGTTTATGTGATTTTAACCATTGAGCTTATACATTTATGTCAATATTTATAGGTAAATTAATTTAAAATTTACATTGTCGATTTATTTTTTTATGTTAAAATAATATTCTATTACATGAATTTTTATCATTCATTATGTTGAAAATTTTTATTTATTTTTAGTTTATTATAATACTTTTTATCTATTTTACCTAAAAATATTACTTATTTTCATTTAAGTTACTAAACTTAATCTATAAGTCGTTAGAAAATAAATAAGAATAAAATATGCTCTTCAATTTTAAGTGTTAAGTGCAATTATATATGAAAAATTTTTATATTTTAATTTCAAATTGAAATAACTACAACATATAATTTTAAAATTTAAAAGAAATATAATATTTTCAAAGATTTAATTAATTAAAATAATTTCATAAAAAAAAAAACTCCATGCATTGCACGGGTTATAAATTAATTAGTACTTTTATTAAATATATATATATATATAAAGTATGCTTGCAATTTATTAGACTTGTATTTTAAGTTTGAATTCTTAACATTATATGACTTATACATCATTACATAAATTATTTCTTAATTAAATACTAAAATTTTAGATCTCAAATAGTCAATACTTTCAAAACATATTTTTTATTTATAGTGTTCATATTTAATATTTAAAATTAAGAATTAAATTTATTTAAAAGTGATTTAAGATAATTGAATTGTGATGAATTTATAATAGGCTAGGATATTTTATATTTATAAGAAAATAAATATACCTAATGTAGTTAAAATAAATATATTTTAAATTAATAAAATTTATATGAAAATAAATCATAATAATTAATGCAAGACATGTGGTGATTATTTAAGACTATCTACATGTTAAAAGAATAGATCATTCATATTAGAATTTTTTTAAAGATTTTAATTTTTATATATTTATATAAGATATATAAAATTAAATATATAAATATAAATTCTATTTCTATTAATATTTTAATGTTTAAATATATCCTAGAATTAAATTAAATAAAAAAAATTTTGGTTACTAAACATAATATTTTATAATATTTCAAAGTGGAGCGGGGTTAAATTCAAGCTTAAAAAAAGGTGTTGGAAGTTCAAAATAGACGCAAGTCGAATCCGTGGTCGACCATGGACCTGTTCAGAAGTATCAAATCCCTAATTAAAAGATTAAAAGAGGGAAAGCAGAAGTGATGAAAAGCAAACCATATCCAAAACCCAAACCAAAAACCGGAGACCAAAAACCCATCTAAAGTTTGCCAGATTTTTCTCTCCTTTTCCTTCCCCTTAGGCCTTGGCTTAATTTGCCGAAACGTTGCTTACCACTCATTATCTCTCTTCTTTCGCACTGAACCCTCCCCAGTACTTTCCCAACAACGCTGACAATTCCAACTCCCTCTTCTTCTTCTTCTTCTTCTTCTTCTTCTTCTTCTGCTATCCTCTCTTCTCTCTTTCGTTTCCCCTTTTCCTTTCTTTCTTCATCAGCTTCATGGGTTGAAGAAGAAAACCCGCCGCCTTGATTGCTTTTTTAGAGGTATATGGAGTGGGATAGTAATTCGGATCTGAGTGGGGACGAAGACGAGGGCTTCCTGCTCAACGATGGCGGCCCACTTCCTTTCCCTGTCCAAAACTTGCTCCAAACGGCTCCTTGTGGCTTTGTCGTCTCAGATGCCCTCGAGCCCGATCATCCCATCATTTATGTCAACACCGTCTTTGAGATGATTACGGGCTATCGCGCCGAGGAGGTTCTTGGCCGTAATTGGTCAGTCCCTATAACCTTTTCTGCTTGGTTATGTTGGTTGAAAATTATTATTTAATTTTTTTTCATTTCTCCGTATATCACTTGGGATTTCAAGTGGTGCTTGGATTCTTATTTTGCTTTTGAGTAGTGTATGAAATGAGAGCAGATATAATATACTATGTTTTAGGTCTCCTTGCGTTAGAATTTATTGATTACTGAAAACCCGTATTGGTTTTTTTTTTTTTTTTGGTTATTTGCCATTTGGTGTGCGTGGGGGGCATTTTATTTATGTGCTAAAGATTGTTGAACATATTCAAGATGGGCAGTATTAATTTTCCTTTTGACATATTGTTTGTTCTGCAAAGAGAAACCAAAAATTCCTTTGCAGTTTAATGAATTTAGATCTGTGAAGTGCTCTTATGAAGTTTCTATACAAGGGGTTTTTTAAGATATTGCCCTTGTTAATGTTTGAGGCAGCGTAAATATGCACATCATAACAAGTGTGTGTTAAAGCCCCTTATTATCTTTCCGGAACAAACTTAAAATTAACAGTGGTGGTATTGATTTCCGTAAATAGAATGTTTGGTGGGAATATGTTAAAAAGTATATATTAACTAGAAAGTAACTAATCTGGGGGATATTTGGTGTGAACTTTCAGTTGGAATGGTATGAGGTGTTATGTAGTTATGGTAGAGCAGGCTTGCGTACACTAGAAAGAGAACTTTCAACTTGATGTATCATTTTTGGGATTCTTAACTAGTTTGTCATTAGGAATTATACCTTTAGAAGTGTGGTGTAGTTTTTTTATGGCATATCACTAGCTTTATGATAGTGATATTGAGATTAGGGATTGGAAGCCTTTATCAAGTGGTCATGCTGGTACTATCTTGTTGATTTATCTATTTCTTCTTAGTTCATCTTGATTGCATTAGACATTCAAAAGCTTCAAATTCATCCTACATGTTGATAATAAATGTTGCTGCCCTATGGTGCATCTTCTGTTTTTATATTATATTTCCTGTTGTTACTTTCTAAAGAAGCTACCCTTGATGTTAAGGTATCATAGTGGAGTGTTCTTGATTAGGTAATAATTATTTAAGTGGGAAATATTCATGAATCATACCAAAAAAAGTTAATGTTATATCATTGTTAAAATGTTTCTGATATCTGTAAACTAAATCTTATATAGTATTTACTAAAGATAGGCTTTTTACCCAATATACCAGCATTTAATACAATTATGAATTGAAGAAATATTTCTATAATATCTTCCTTTATTTCATGAGCACTCTCTAAAATCACAAATGAATTAACAACCTTAGTGCTCCTTTTGAATGTTGCACTAAGCACAGTTTGTTGTAATGTGGTGGTCAGAAATTTATGTTTGGAAATTTATAGCAATATCATTAACACTCTACTTTGTCATTTCAATATCTATAGGGTTTAAATGTTGAAGCTTATCTGAAGGGAGACTTGAGTAAAATATGTGAGTGGGACCATAAGTACATCGTTCTAACTGACTTCTAGAGCTTAGCATATAGAGTTGATGCAGTAAATTGAAGGAAATTTTTTCATCATAAAGTTATGTTGTATGATGAAAATATCTTGGTAGTATCAGATGATACTCAATTACATACTTGCTTCAAAACTATCATGGTAGTATCAAATGAGACTCAATTTCATACTTGCTTCAGGAATCTTATTGCTGTGATAAAACGCACTTTCACAAGTTTGCTCAAGCTTTCAATTGCCAATACGGGGTGGATCTCATACAAAGCCTTTTTGGTGAACTAGAGCTTAGCAACTTATGACTTTTGGTTTTGGACTGTAAAAGAGAAATAGTTTGGGGTTGATATTTGAATGCTTGAAATGACTGTTCTTATAATTTATCAGATGCTTGAATCTTCTGGCTAGCAAACTTGTAGGTTGGCAGAGTGGTGGGGAAGGATCGGGATGGGTTCTTTTATTGAGTTTTTAAGATTTGCTAGTGTGATGATATAGGATTTCATTTAAGGAAACCTGGGAACAGGTAGATCATAATTTAATGAGGAAAATTGTGCAGAATTAATCTGTGGTATGGGCATAATAATAATAATAATAATAACAACAACAACAACAAACAAGGCTGAAAAGTAGAAAGAGAGAAAGAAGATTCAATTTAGGAGAAGAAAAGCATGCACAATCTTGCCTCTGTACTTACACAGAAGTGCTTGAAATTCTATCAGCTCAATCCTTCCAAGTTTAGATATATGCTTATATAAAATAAGTGTATGTGTGAATTTGTATATGCGTCTGTTATGTGTATGTAGTTCTTTTTTATTATTTTTCTTTTTAATTCTTTTCTTATTTGTGTGCTTCTATGCCGCAAGACTCTAAAATAAATATGGAAGCATATTAAGGACTAGTAAAAAAAATATGGATGATACCAGACTCAACTCATTTTGAAAACTCCTGTGAATAAGCTGAAAAAAAAAAAAAAGATACTTTGATGGAATTGGGAACAATTAATTATTTGCTATTTGTTTTTATCAAAATATGTGTAATTTGAAGAAACATAATATATATTTTGTTATATATGTTGCAGGGTGTATATTTTGTTTGTGTGGTGGAATTGGAATAATAGTACCGCTTCATTCTTATGAAGAGACAGAGCTTAAGTATTCAATGACTTCATTTGTGTTTCTGAGATATCTTCGCTATGATGAATTTTTTGTATTGCCTTTTAGTCATGTCTTCTTTTGATTTGTTGGATTGTTTCTGGTGTAAGATAATTTGTCTTCTTTTTTCTGCTCTTAGTTATATTTTTTATCAAAAAGACAGCAAATAGAGTATCTCTATAGCATTTACTGTGGAAACTGAATGTATATTGAAAAACTGCTTATTTGAATTATACAAGAATCTTAGGTTTATATACAACTAACTAGGGGTTAAACTAGGAAACTAAATCTTCCTTAATTCTAGGGATACAAATACTTAATTCTAGAGATACAAATATAAATATACAGATTACAAGATTACAACCAGCTGTAAATAAGTGTTTTCCCACACTCCCCCTCAAGCTGGTGAATAGGTGTTTTCCATTCCCAGCTTGGAAATAATTCCTTGAAATGTTGCACTGCTGAGACCTTTAGTCAACACATCTGCAAGTTGACCCTTGGTTGATACATAAGGTATACAAATCAACCCACTGTCTAGTTTCTCCTTTATGAAATGCCGGTCTACTTCAATGTGTTTTGTTCTGTCATGTTGTACAGGATTGTGAGCAATGCTTATTGCAGACTTGTTATCACAGTAGAGTCTCATTGGTCCATCCCACTTGATCTTCAAGTCTTCTAAGATAATCTTTAACCATAGTAGTTCACAAATCCCTTGAGCCATTGCTCTGAACTCTGCTTCAGCACTTGATCTTGCCACCACATTCTGTTTTTTACTCCTCCAAGTCACAAGATTACCACCTAAGAAAGTACAATAGCCTGAGGTGGATCTTCTATCAGTTACTGAACCTGCATAATCAGCATCTGTATATGCTTCTAGAACTAACCCTGAATTTCTTTTGAATAAGATACCTCTCCCAGGGTTGGCCTTCAAATAGTGCAATATACGGTAGACAGCCTGTAGGTGCACTTCTTTAGGACTATGCATAAATTGACTTACCACACTCACAGCATATGCTATATCAGGTTTAGTATGTGAGAGATAAATGAGTCTTCCAACTAATCTTTGGTACATCTCTCTATTTACAGCAGCATCTTCATTAGCTTCTCCAATTTTATGATTAGGATCCATAGGGGTATTTGCAGGTTTACATGCAAGCTTCCCAGTTTCCTTCAAAAGATCCATCACATATTTCTGTTGTGAGATAAAAATACCATGCCGTGAGTGAGCTACTTCAATTCCTAGGAAGTACTTCAATCTCCCTAGCTCTTTTATCTCAAATTCTCTAGCCAAACACTGTTTTAGAGATTCTCTCTCTTTTTCATCATCTCCAGTTACAATTATATCATCAACATACACTAATAGAACTGTGACTCTCCCTGAATCAGAGTGCTTGATAAACAATGTGTGATCTCCTTGACTCTGTTTATATCCCATTACTAGCATCACTTTGGCAAATCTCCCGAACCAAGCTCTAGGAGACTGTTTAAGGCCATATAAAGCCTTTTTTAGCCTGCATACTTTGTTTGCTTCTAGATGACCTTCAAATCCCGGTGGAACCTTCATATATATTTCTTCTTCCAAATCACCATGTAGAAAAGCATTATTTACATCAAATTGTTGAAGCTGCCAATTGTAATTTGCAGCCAATGATAACAAAATTCTAACTGTATTCATCTTGGCAACTAGAGCAAAGGTTTCCTGGTAATCAACTCCATAAGTTTGAGTGTAGCCCTTAGCCACTAACCTGGCTTTATACCTTTCAACAGTACCATCTGCCTTGTATTTTACGGTGAAAACCCATTTACACCCCACTGAATTTTTTCCTTTAGGCAACTCTACCAGTTCCCATGTCTGATTTTTCTCTAAGGCCTCCATTTCTATTTTCATGGCTTGCCTCCATTTCTCATTGGATAATGCCTCGGATAATGTAGTTGGAACAGAAATAGTGTTTAGGCTCACAAGAAAATTTTTGTGGGATGGTGAGAATTTTTCAAATGACACAAAATTAGATATTGGGTATAGTGGATGCTTGGTACATTCTCTGGTTCCTTTCCTAATGGCAATAGGCAAATCATAATCACTGGTTATAGTTTTAGGATATTCATGCTCATTTTGAGAAACAGAGTCAAAAACTGTAGTTACCTCATTTCCAGAGTTAGGATCAGGCTCTTGGACTGGCACTGGTTCAGGATCTGGAACTTTCCTTCTTGAGTACACCTGTAATTCCTTCATAGAATCAAGAATAATATTATCCTTTGTCACATCTTCTGTATTTGGAATGGGTTCAGACTCAAATTCAGTATTTGACTTGGGCTCAGCAGAAACAGGTTTCGACTCAGAAGAATTAATGGGTGTAAATGTTGAAGAAGGGGGCAAATCAAGCAAAAAGAAGTCTTTATCCTTATCTTCCATGAATGAAGTCTCCCCCTGAAGATAAGGTTGAGTAAAAAATGGTTTATTTTCTTCAAAAGTGACATCTGCAGACACATAGAATTTTTTGGTAGGAGGATGATAGCACTTATATCCTTTTTGAGTTGAAGAATACCCCACAAAAATACACTTAATCGCTCTTGGATCCAACTTTCCCCTGTTATAACTGTGAACATGAACAAATGATGTACAACCAAATATCCTAGGTGTGAGATTGTTTGTGGTATTGAGGTTGGGATAAAATTGTGAGAGTAGTTCCATAGGAGTTTTAAATCCCAAAACTCTTGAAGGTAACCTATTTATAATGTATGTGGCAGTGAGAACAGCTTCCCCCAATAAGATTTAGGTACATTTGCTTGAAAAAGAAAGGCTCGGGTTGTGGCTAGTAAATGACTGTTTTTCCTCTCTGCTACTCCATTCTGCTGTGGAGTATTAACACAAGATGACTCATGGATAATCCCCTCTTTTTGAAAATAGGTGGATAGACTATGGTTGAAGTAGTCTCTTGCATTATCAGACCTAAATCTCTTGATTCTCACTCCAAATTGATTTTGGATCATGTTTTGGAAGCTTAAAAACACACTATTCACATCTGATTTAGATTTAAGTAAAAAAACCCAAGAGACCCTAGTACAATCATCTATGAATGAAACAAACCATCTCGCACCAGAAATATTAGGAATTGTAGAGGGACCCCAAATGTCACTATGAATCAAGTAAAAGGGAGTAGAACTTCTTTTGTTACTGATTGGAAAAGACACACGTCTATGTTTTGCAAATTCACAAATATCACAATGAAAATCTTCAACATTTAATCCTTTGAACAAAGAAGGAAACATGTTTCTCAAGGTTCCAAAAGAAGGATGTCCAAGACGAAAATGATAAAGCCAAATTTTGTCTTTATTGGAAGATTTTTCAGAAAGAAATGACAAAGGTAAACTATTTTTGATACTACTTGTGCTATTTGATGTCTCAAGATAGTATAGTCCATCCTTTTCCTTAGCAAGTCCAATCATCTTCCCCGAACTCTGGTCCTGAAATTCACAATAAGAGGGATAAAAAGTTACTTTGCAATTCATATCTCTGGTAAGTTTTTGTATAGATATCAGATTAATAGATAATCCAGGAACATGAAGAACATTTTTTAGAACAAACGAGGGATTAACTTGAACATCTCCTAATCCTGCCACTGTGGTAAGTGAACCATCAGCAACAACAATTTTCTTATTACTAGGACACAGGTTATATGTACTAAACTTTTGTGAAGAATGTGTCATGTGGTCTGTGGCTCCTGAGTCAATGACCCAAGAACTCGTAATAGGCTTAGCCGAGACATTTAATCCATGAGAACCAGAAGCTTTACCTGAACTAGAAACTTTACCCAAAGAACATACCATAGTAGGCTTTTCAAGGATTTTCAATAAGTTTCTCAGCTTTTCAATCTCTTCCCTGTTGAACTCTCCTTGTTTCTGAGACATCTGTAGTACTCTAGTGATTTTCCCAGTTAACATTTTCTCAAATTGAGGTGTAGTGATATCTTTCTTTGAAAGGGTTCGGCAATGAAGGCCTAAACAGGATTCGGCAATGAAGGCCTAAAAAAGTCAGCAATGAAGGCTAAAAATTTTGCTTCCCAAGAAGAGCCTAAAGCTCTGATACCATGTGGAAACTGAATGTATATTGAAAAACTGCTTATTTGAATTATACAAGAATCTTAGGTTTATATACAACTAACTAGGGGTTAAACTAGGAAACTAAATCTTCCTTAATTCTAGGGATACAAATACTTAATTCTAGAGATACAAATATAAATATACAGATTACAAGATTACAACCAGCTGTAAATAAGTGTTTTCCCACATTTACGAATAATGTATATGATTTAAGCATGTTGCCACCTTTTTCGTGGTACTGAATCAATTAAGATATATCTATATAAATATAAATATATATATATATATATATATTGAAAGGAACAGATATTCTTCTTTACCAGGTAAGTGCATTTCCCCTCTCCATTTATCTGATTTTCCTTGCTTCTTTTAATGCAAAAAGTGAAAATAGGTAAGGGAAATGGGATTTAGCAAGTATGACTCCATCCATTTAGAGGAAAATAGCATTAGCGTCTTTTAATTAGTTGAAGTCTGGATTTGGAACAGAGGTGGCAAAGTCAAACATGATGCAATTTTTCCTCTTTATTTTTATTTTCTTTATTTGGTTAGAAATAAGTTTACTTTGTTAAAGTTCAACCAACTCAAACCAATCAGACTCTGCAATTGGCTGGTTAGAATATGTTAATTTCTACTTTGTGGGTTTACATTGTGGGTACAGCTCACCAATACATATGACAACAGTTTGTCAGGTAGCCTGAAGTTGTGCACTTGTCTAAATGTTTTTTTTAGTTGCCCTAGCGGTGTATGGTGCTTGCACATTAATTTCTCCATCGCTTTACTGCTACAGCTAGAAATTTAGAATAATTTCATATATATTGTGCAGTTAATGTACTTTATTTAAGATATTAGCTTTTGGATTTCCTTGCAAGGAAACGGACCAATTAAAGTTGTTTTAATTTTGTAAACTTCCAGCCTGAGATGTTCTACTAATGTGGTATTGTTTTCAAGTTACACTTCTTTTGTGATCCAGGATAATAATATTTCTGTGGATCTACAGGGTTTTAAAAAGTGTGTTATCTTTACATATATTACATATTGTACAATCAAATGCTTTTGGAAAGTGTTAACATTAGTGGTACAATTGTGCTTCCCCTTTTTCTATATATTCTTTGTGTTGTTTCTACTTTCCTTGGAGATTGTGAGGCATCTAAAGTTGCATATCTGTTTGTGTCAGTAATTTTATGCTTATTGGTCATAACTGCACAATCGAACAAGGGAAGGGTTAAAGGTGATGACTGTATGTTGTGTTGTAACTTTGCTTTAGAAGGTTTTTCTTTAAAATAAAATTGTATCCTTTTGTGTTCTTTGATCAATTGATGGAGCTTCATTTTAAATTTGAAAGCTCATACCCCCTCCTTGCCCTCTTCCTCTCATATATTGTACATTACTTACTATAAATCATCTTGAAAGTTTTTGCTTATGGTTCCTGTTTACTTCAGCTACGCACATTGCCACCCATAAATTTTCTTGTTAAAAAGAAAATAATATTTAGTGTTCATATTGTGACAAGTTGCTGATTGTTGTAAGTTGGTCCGCTCTCTCTTTTTTTTTTTTTTCTTCCTGATATCTATGTATTTTGTATCAGCCGTTTCTTGCAATGTAGAGGACCATTTGCAAAAAGACGACATCCATTGGTGGACTCCACAGTTGTTTCAGAAATACAGAGATGCCTTGAGGAGGGAGTTGAATTCCAAGGCGAGTTGCTGAATTTTAGAAAGGATGGATCTCCATTGATGAACAGACTGCGTCTTACTCCTATATATGGAGATGATGAGACAATCACTCATGTTATTGGGATCCAGTTCTTCACAGAAGCAAACATTGATCTAGGTCCAGTGCCAGGATATTCAATAAAGGAGTCTATGAAGTCATCTGATCGTTCTCGTTCTGGATTTTCTGCTCTTCATCCTGTTGTAGTTGGGGACCGAAATGTCTGCCGTGGGGTTTGTGGGATATTGCAATTGAGTGATGAGGTACTGTCTCTCAAGATACTTTCACGACTGACACCAAGAGATATTGCATCAGTTGGTTCTGTCTGTAGGCGATTTTATGAACTGACAAAAAATGAGGATCTTTGGCGGATGGTCTGTCAAAATGCATGGGGTTGCGAGACTACTCGTGTTTTAGAGACAGTTCCTGGTGCAAAGAGACTTGGGTGGGGTGGGCTGGCAAGGGAATTGACCACTCTTGAAGCAGCTGCATGGAGGAAGCTTACTGTTGGAGGTGCTGTGGAACCTTCACGGTGCAACTTTAGTGCTTGTGCTGTTGGGAATCGTGTTGTACTTTTTGGTGGTGAAGGGGTAAACATGCAACCGATGAATGACACCTTTGTATTGGATCTAAATTCCAGCAACCCAGAGTGGCAACATATCCAAGTGAGCTCTCCTCCTCCTGGTCGTTGGGGTCACACACTATCTTGTGTAAATGGGTCTCATCTGGTGGTATTTGGAGGCTGTGGAAGACAGGGCCTGCTCAATGATGTTTTTGTGCTAGATTTGGATGCAAAGCCTCCAACCTGGCGAGAGATCTCAGGATTGGCTCCTCCGCTTCCTAGATCATGGCACAGCTCCTGCACACTTGATGGGACCAAGCTGATAGTTTCTGGTGGTTGTGCAGATTCAGGAGTACTTCTTAGTGACACTTTCCTGCTTGATCTTTCAATGGAGAAACCTGTCTGGAGAGAGATACCAGTAGCATGGACCCCACCTTCTCGTTTGGGCCATACAATGTCAGTATATGGTGGTCGGAAAATATTGATGTTTGGAGGTCTTGCTAAGAGTGGTCCACTCCGGTTTCGGTCTAGTGATGTATTCACAATGGATTTAAGTGAAGAGGAACCATGTTGGAGATGTGTAACAGGGAGTGGAATGCCTGGTGCTGGGAATCCTGGCGGCATTGCTCCACCTCCAAGACTTGATCATGTTGCTGTGAGCCTTCCTGGTGGAAGAATTCTCATCTTTGGCGGGTCTGTTGCTGGTCTTCACTCTGCTTCCCAACTTTATCTCCTGGACCCAACTGATGAAAAACCTACATGGAGGATACTGAATGTGCCTGGGCGACCCCCAAGGTTTGCTTGGGGTCATAGTACTTGTGTTGTTGGTGGGACAAGGGCCATTGTACTTGGCGGTCAAACAGGTGAGGAGTGGATGCTAACTGAGCTCCATGAGCTGTCACTGGCGAGTTCAGTTATTTGATTACAGTCATGGCTAATAGATGATATGCAGATGGAAAATAGCAATCTATTATAAAGGAGTCCCGACTCAAAACGGGTCCCCGACTCCAAGATGAGATAGAACTCTGAGAACTTTGCTTGGTGAACATTCTTGGGTCACTAGGAAAGAGAAGGAAAAGAAAAAAGAAAAAGAGAACTCTAGACAAACATTCCTCTGGTCATGCCAGGACTTTTGTAGTAAGCTGACTGTCCCGTGATGCATTTTATTGTATGAGGTTGTTCTGGCTCGGGATAAACTTTGAAATGACTGACTTGGAAACATGTTTGTTTTGTTTTTTTTTTTTTTTATTGGGTAAGGTTTGTGTGAACTGCCTGACAATGCTCACAATGGATTTATTCTTGGTTGTTAGGATTGACAGACAGACAGACTGAGACAGGTAGGTAATTTATATATGTAGGTATTAGTTGTTGTGCCCCATCAGTTTATTTTATATTATTCTGTAATTAAAAAAATTACAAAAAAGGATGCTGCATGTTTATATGGTATTCTTTTGCTTTAGTTTTTTGTCATGTCATAGTAAAGGCGGAGCTCTGCTTGCCATGTTTCTTTTAACCTTTTGTTCACTTTGTTCTTTAACTCGATTGGAACTTTTACAGCATCATTGTTTCTCATTCTCTCCATTTTTTTCTTATTTTTACGGAAACAGTTTCAGTTTGTTCGTGAAAAATGTTTGAATCTTGGAAAGTTTATAAGTAGACACCAAAACATATAACACATCAAACTAACAAGACCAAGGTTTTCAGCAGTGCACAACATCAATTGCGCTCACCCTAGAAGCAAAACATGTAAATCCCTTTTTTTTTCTTTAATGAAAAAGTATTATTTTTTATCAGGTCAATTATAATTTAAAGACGTCAGATTATTATAAAATTTTTCGAAGTTGTTACGTTAAGTTTACTATTTTAATTAGCTCATAGCAGTTGATACTATTACCCAACGTAGCAACTATGATGATGTTGCATACTTTCCCACTACAGTTACTCGTCGTACTCTCATTTATAGAACACAAAATTGAGTCATATTCTAACTTATAGGAAGGATTTATGTAATTATTTAATTATTTTTTTCAATTTTACAATATGACTCTGAAGAAAGCGCTAGTAACAAGTTTTACTGTTGTTGATCATAAACGGTAGAATTGGAGCATTTCATTAATAATTATTATAATATAATTAATTGATCATAATTTAAAATTATACAAGATTTATCAAAATTTTATGTTGAGCTCACATTTATAAGTAATGATCTCTACATAACTTTTATTATTGTAATTTGATATTTATATGATTGTAATAAAAATAATTGTAGATGAAATGTTTCAAGTATAAATTTTGATAGAGAGTCAAGAATGTTTGTTATTTATCTATAAAGCTAAAAAAATTTACTTAGATTTGAAAATTTTGTTCAATATTTTTTAATTTAATCTAATTTGATAAAAAAATAAATAATTCAAATTCATCCAATTTGAATTCAAATTAATCCAAATTCAAAATAACTCAAATGATTCAAAAAATTATTTCAAAATTAAATTAATTTAACTTTCAAATGTAATAATTTAGACTACATGATTCAAATCCCTTGATTTCAAGTCAAATAATCTGAATGTTAATTTCAAAAAATTAAATTCAAAATAATTTAAATCTAAATGAGTCAAACTCAAAATGACACAAATTTCCTTTCATCCAAATAATCCGACTCGAAATGATCAAACCTTTCAATTGCCACTTCTAACTTGAATGATAATCCTTTGGGTAAATATCACCCTCTTATGAGCTATGATAAACAAATTTCAAAGAACTGAAAGAAAAAAATTGAATATCATCAATGTCATTTATTTATTTATATATACTATACATGAAAATTTAGTTCAATAATTTTTAGGTGACACCTATAGTTTTTCTTGCCTATAGGGTTATTTTTCATTTGGGCAAACTACATGATTAGTCACTAAAGTTTTTGTAATTTTTTTATTTTGATTACTTAATTATAAAAAATCACGATTTGATCATTAATATTTCATAAATTTAATTTTTTATCACTCAATCATTAAAAATTAACAATCAACTAATGTGACATTACCATATAATCTAACATTCACTATGTAGCAATGTCGTTTCATTTGACATATCACATGACATTAATGACTTGCATTATAATATTAAAAAAATAAAATTTTAATATTAAAAAAGATAAATTACATGCCTAATCATTTAACTTTTGAAAAATCATAATTTGATCACCAGCATTTATAAAATTTACTCGTATTTTGATTTTCATTGCTAATGAAATTTAATATAATAAATTATTTTATAACAATTATTTTATTACTAATCATGTCTCACTATCAACATGGTATTACATTGATTTGGTCACCAGTATTAGTGGAATTTAATATAATAAATTATTTATTGTTTATGCTATTTGTATTAAAATATCTTGAGATAATAATCAAATAAACTCTTAAATTTTTTATAAAAATATAAACGTACAATCAATCTTTTATTAAATGAAATTAAGGTTATAAACTTTTATAAAATATATTTTTAAAAACATAAAATAAAAAATTGATAATATTTTCAAAAAATTAATTTTTTAAAAAATAAAAAACTTTTTGCAAGATTAAAAGTAAGATAAGATGATTTTTTTTATAGGTCAAAATTACTCTTCTTGAAAGTAAATGTGATTTATAATTTTTATTATAAATATAATTCAAAACTTTTTAATAAAAATATAATTTATAATTTATATTGTTAAGAATGAAATTTATTTTTGCAAAAAAATAATTTTTTTAAAATTCATTTTAAAAAATTTTATTTTATTTTATTTTTTAATCAATTTTATATAAATTCATACCCTTAGTTTCATGTAACAAAAAATTGTGGGCTTATTTATATTTTTTAATAAAGTTAGTGAACTTATTTGAGCATTATCTAAAGATATTTCAATATAGATAATAAAAATAATAAAATAATTTATTATATTAATTTTTACTATCATTGGTGACAAATTGTTGTCATGCCATGTGACGGTGAGACATTAACAATAAAAATCAAAACATTAATAAATTTCAAATTATGACATTTTAAAGTTGAGTTATCAAAATAAAAACTTTAAAAAAATTAAGTGATCTAAACATGTAATTTACTTTTTTCAATATTTGAATATTTATTTTTTTAAAAAAATAATATTACCATGTAAATTGTCATGTGCTATGTTACATAGACATATAATACCTCGTGGAAAATGTCAGATAACGTGATAATGCCATATAAATAGCCGTTAATTTTTAACAGTTAAGTGACTATAAAATTAAATTTCTAAAATGTTAGTGATCAACTTGTAATTTTTCATAGTTGAGTGATTAAAATAAAAAGTCAGGAAAATTTTAGTGACTAAAAGTGTAGTTTACCATTTTATTTTATATACTAGCTTGTTATCCATGCATTCGCACGGATTATTTTTATTTTATTTATATTTAAATAAAAATAAAATTAATATTATTGAATTATTTATATGTTCAAAATATATGTAAAATATAAATAGTATAATTAAAATATCAAATCATAATAAAACTAAAAATTTTAATTAAAAATTTAATAAACTTTAAAATATACGATAAATAATATTGAAAGAAGAAAAAACATTCAGAATTTATTGTCAATAATATTATTAATTATACCAACAAAACATTAAAATAGAAACTAAAAGTCTTATCACTTCCAATGAATTTTATTAAATTTGCATCAGTTTTAGCTTTTTTTATCATTTTTATATATCAATAGATTTATGTAATTTTAAGATAAGTTTTATTTATTTAAGAGAAATAATAATTTTAAATATTTAAATAATATATGTGATAATTTATTCTCGTGTACATTTTTGTGTTGCAGGAATAAGTATTAATATTAAATTATAAACAATTATTTAAGAAAAGCATAGATTGAGTTTGAGAATAGTCTATTTAATTGATCGAAATCAATTGAATTTGATCAAGTTGATTTGATTAGTTTGATTTGATTATTATTGATTAAATAAATTTGTTTAATCAATTAATTTGATTTATTTTTTTTTATTTTAATTTTAAAAAACATATATCTAGATTTATTTAATTTTTAATTATAATTTGAGTAATTTTTTTATTTGAAAATTTTTAAAATTATCTAATTTGCAATTAAAAGAAGCTATCCTACTTTTTGAAAAAGCGATCCTACATGTCATTCAAAAAAGTTATCTATATAAACATTCATGTAACAAACTTTATCAAATGTATATATATGTTGTAATATAATATATATATATATATATACACAAAAAATTTTTATAGGGTTATACAGAATGGTTAAGATTTGGTTGTGTTTTGGTTTCTTTCTTTAATTAAGGTGACAATTTTTTTATTTAATTATTTCCTTGAATGAGGGGTTGGAAATGTGTAAGTTTTTTTTATTGTGACTTAATTTTATTGTTGTGTGTCCTATAGTGATGGAGTTTGGTTGTTCTATGTAAGGAACTTCGAGGAACTATTATACTATGGTGGAATGATATTCATTACATGTTATCTCTAGTGATTTTCAAAGATGTCTACACATAATAATTCTTGGGATAAGAATTCAAATCAAAGGTTGAGATTCTAAAATTATAGCGATTTATGGCATAACCGATAAAAGCTAGTAAAGAAAATTATTAAGCTAATCAAAGAATAGAACTAAATATGATAGGAATTTCAAGAGAAAAAAAAAAGAACAGATTTACCGTATGAAATAGACTAAAAATAAGCTTGATGATAGTAGGAATTTTGCACCTCCATTGAATCCTTTGTTCATTACAAAAATCAAAACAAAAGAAAAAGTTCAACTTAATAAAACTTTAAAATTTTAGAAAGAATAATACTTTTACAAAAAATAGCAAAGGACATTTTATTCAATAACAAAATTTTGAAGAATAAAACATCTGCAGAGAAAGAAAGAGTTTCATGACTTTTTTATTAAAAAAAAATGAAATAAATCAAATTGGTATATGACTCTATTATATCAATTAATCAGAGTATTATTTTATTTTATATAAATGGGGAACATTGAATAAATAATCAATTAAAAACAAAATATATTACCTCATTAATGAAGTATCCATGAAAAAATAAAAAGCCTGCAAACAACACCAGTAAAAATATAAGAATATGTGTTTTAGTAGTTTTGTATATTGTAATATATGACAAAAAAAAAGTCAAAATTAAACTAAGAGAACTTACCTAAGCCAAATAGTAAGAAAAAATAAATCCACCTTAAATGAAAGACCCTAAATGGAAGAACAATAAAAGAGTAATGCTAAAGTTTGTGAGAAGATGAAATACTATTTGGAAAATAAGTTGAATGGGAAGCCGGTAAATAATCAAGTTATATAATTTTATTTAATTCATAAATATAATTAAATAATTATTTTATCTATAGATAATATATAATTAGATAATAATATTTAAATTTTTGTGTTTTATTCCTTTATCTTCCAAAAAGAAATATCTAATTAAATAATTACTTGATAACTCTAAACTTGAGAAATTTCATCAAAGTGACCACTATAGCTTTTTAGAGTTTAAAAGTTATCTAACAAAGATTTTCTTCTTACTGTTATTTAGTTATGCATTGTGATTTCATCTGCATAAATAAATGAAACAAAATTATTGAGTTTATTTTCTTATTTGTTTTTAAACTAAAATAAAAAGATATTAAATTTATTATGAATTAAGAAATAGAAAAAAAATATTATAGCTGAGTTGAAAAAAAAAACCTACCAGATGGAGTAAATAGTATATTTAGTAAAATTATACTTATCATCAAAAAAAGTATATTAGTTCCTATAACAAGAATTCACTAATAAAAAAAAGAGATTAAATTAATAATAAGGAAAATATGTTTAGCTCATATGTTTCGTGAGACATTGAGAAAGTTATATAATTAAAAATTACCAACAATGAGAGCTTTTATGAAATTGTTTTGGTATTTATATATTTTTTCTTTCACATTTTCTTAAATATATTAATATTAAAAGTTTATAACAAATATTGATTTAAATTTAAATTTTATTTTAATAAGATATATCTAAATTTATTTTTTTTAAGTTGGTGGATTATTTATTAAAATTATTTTTATCTATAACTAATATATTTAAAAGCTAAAGATAATGTAATGATTATTTATAAAAAAAAAATGTTAAAGATATTAAATAATATTTTAAAAAACTATGATAAATTTAAATAATTATGTTAAGTGCAGATAAATTAAAAAAGATAAATTACTTTAAAATTAATTTTAAATTGAAATGATGTGATGTATAGAAGAAAATAATTTCATTAGAATTTAAATTGGTTTTTGATTAAAATTTAAAATTTTAGATAATTTAATAATTTTTAAAATATATTTTTTATAAATAATTTAAATTTAATAAATATCTTATATGTCATCATAATAAAAAATTTTAAAAATTATTTTATATGTAGAAAAAAAAAAGTGTCCACGTAAAAGTTCATATCAACAAATGTTATTTGGTAATTATTTATATATATATATATATATATATATATAAAACTAGTTAAGTATGAGAAAATTGTTGAACCATTTTCTATTCTCGTGAACATTCTTGATGAGTATTTTGTTTTTACTAAATTAGACTGTAATTCTTGTTTGGCATTAAGGTTGGCTTCGTTTAGATTGCTATTAAGAGTAATTTTTGTATTCAAATTTTGCTTTTAGTCCAAACACATTGTCAAACAATAAAAAAAATTAGCTTTTTGGTTTAAAAGTTTGAATTTCCAACCTAAATTAAATCGCTCCTCAAAAGGCGCTTTAGTGGTGAAAAAAATGTGTTGTGAATAAAAAATTATTTTATTATCTTTATATTTTTAATATTTTATTGTTTTATACATATCTTTTTAAATATTTCAATTACTCACAATATTTTTTATCGTAATATCAAATATTTAAAAATTTTAACCTCATTTTTTCATTATACCTTTTAAACATATATTTTTTTTATCTAAAATTTTTTAACCACAACAGAAACATTAAACTAGTGCATAGTCGGTTTGGGTGAGTGTGATTATAATAAGTAACAATTGTTATAAACTAAATGATGATAATTTATTTAAGTTGAAAAGTTTTTTTTTTAAAATAAAATTTATATTCAATCTAACTCCGATAACTTGAAAATTATAAAAGTTCAAACACTTTAGCCTCTTTCTTCTGCGCAATAATTCAATAAAATGGCTCTCAGTTCATAGAAAATAGCCATTAGCTATTGTTGGCTAAGGGTCACATTAATAAATAACCCAATATCATCCATTTCAGTTGTCAAATGTTAAGCATTAAGCCCACCTAATTCTATTAATAATATTTTATTGAGTTATTGGTTTTTTAAATTTATTTATCAAAATTATTTTTTATTTTAATTTTTAATGTAAATAAATTAATAACAAATATTTTAGCCAACAAACTTAGCCATGTGATCAATTAACACAATTCTTTCTATTTTTATTAATGAAAATTAAAAGGAACCTTGGACCTCATAATCTTATAATGCACTACCCAAAAATATGAGTTTTAATTATATTTATTTATTTATTTATTGATAAATACCAGTGATAAAGTTCAAACTTGACTTTCCAATTAGCCCTAATTTAAAGAGATTTAGGGATAGTCAACTAGGTTTTGATTTAGTGGTAATGAAATTATCCTAAAATCTTAAGGTTCAAGATTCAAATTTCATTATATGTGGCTTTAATTCAATTTTACGTTAAATTTATTTAATTAAGAGCTAGTTTATTGATTAGTTTATTTGTTAGATTATTTAATAATGTAATACTTAATTATAATTATAATTTTTTATCGTACTTGTAACTTAGGAAAAAAAGAGATTTAAGGGTAATTCTTCTACTATTCAAATGTAGTTCATCTTCTTAAAATTTAAAAAATATATTCCTCAAATACTTGGAATATTTTAGGTAAAGAGTAAAAAATGCCCTTGATTATGATTTAATAATAATTTAAGTCCTTAATATTTTATTACAATCAATCAAACCCTTAATATTTTATTTCGACTTAATTAAATTCTTAAGTAGACAAAATGTAGTCACATAAAAAAATTTTAATAAAGTAATATCTATTTTATTGATGTCTTATAAAATTTTATCTTAATTGAAAAAAATTAATGGTGTTAACATTTTCATTCAAATAAATACTTAATTTGATGTAAATAAATATTAGAGGGATTAATTGATTACAATAAAAAAAAAAGGTTTTGATGATTTTTTTTTTAATTATAGTTTAGCAGCTTTTTATAATTTTTAATCAATATTCTATTTTAAAAAATAGTTCATGCATGTAACTGACAATGGATACCCTATAAACGAGTATCTTATACTATTCAACCCAATTAAATATGATTAGAATATTTTACAATGGGATTCGGGTAGAAAATTTATTAATTTTCACAAGTTTAAATAGTGATCTTAGGGTATTTATTACCCAAACTTGATTATAAATCATAATTTATATTATATTTAGTATATATATATTTTTTAATTTTTTGAAATATATTTATAGATTATTTATTATTAATATAATATTTATTAAATTAATTCATTAGGTGTTCAAATTATGATTTTTATACTTAATTCAATAGAGATGGCCTCCATGCTCCCTATTAGTCTTTGATTATATGCCGTTGTCTTGAGGTAGCAAGGCTATCACTACGTGATATCAATAGTTTCTTGCAAGAATGTTTGGTATTTTTTGAGCTAATAATACAATTCTTTTCTTAAAAATTTTTTTAATTTATTAATATAATATAATTTATAATATACATAAAACTTTATTTCAATTTTTTTTTTAAATTTTGGGTTCACATTTTTTAACGGATAATTAAGTTATTTATAATTTAATATAATGTATTTGAGTTTTTTTTTTTTTTTGTGAGTATTAGCAATCAAGTGTGAATATGATTTCTGTATTAAATATTAATTTTTATGAAATTTGAGTTTGAATATAAATAATTAAGTTTTAATCGAGTTTGGGTTTAGATATCTCAAAATTAACAAAAATCTTAGGTTTTGTCATTCCAATTATCCATTACTTGCGAACGGTCACAATGGGCCAATTAGATTTTGGACCGTAAATAAATATGTTGAATAATAATATTTGGAAGACTTATGGAGGTGAGATTGAATAGTCTTATGTATTTCTCCTAAATTAAATATATAAATAGACTTATTTTCAAAAAATAAAAATAGTGAAAACATGTTTGATTTCTATATTTTTAAAATAAAAAAAATGAAATTTGGTTACTAAATAATTAAAGTGTAATTTCTTGATAGGAAAAGGTATAATATGTTGCTAAAATAATAAAAGTAAATTGTAATTAAAATAAAAACAATAGTTCAAATAGAAAAAAAAAAAAAAACAACAGCTCATATTGTTAATAAAGAAAATTAATCAAAATGTATTTCCTTGTGAACAACTAATATTACCTAGTATGACTTTTAAAATCTCAAATTTGTCTCACTATTTCATAAAAACGTATGAATCTTCTATATAACTTGAATAGTTTCATCGAAAACAATTGTTTTTATCGAAAATAATGAAAATTTTTTTTTCTTTAATTTTGACTTATTTTTATTTTTTTAATCAAATAAAATTTTTCATACTTTTATTTTTTTATAAAAATAAAAACAAAAAGCGGCTTTTATTTTTCTAAAATCGAAAAAAATATATAATTGACAATTTTATAAAATCGAAAAAATATATAATTTAAAATTTTAAATAAACTTATAAAACTAAAAAATATATTTTATATTTTGATTTAATATAATTATAACATCATAATTTTTATATATTATATTTTTTTAATAAAATAAATAGAACAGAAAGAAAATACGACCAAACGAAGGAATAACTACAGTTACAGACATTATTATTCTCATTTATCCCAAAACAAGAAAGCAATCGGAGCAGTGAATTAAAAAAAAAAAGAAAAGAAGGAAAAGTAGACGAGGATCTAAAAAAAAACCATCTAAACTATTCAGTCTTCCCCACTTGGGATGCTTCACACTGTTCCACTCAGCTGTCTCTTTCTTCTCTCTCTCTCACCAGCCAATCCCTCCCCATCTCACTCTCTCTGTCTCTCACTCTCAACTCTCAACGCCCTTGCTTTTCCATCTTCCTTTCCTTTCCTTTGTTTCCCTCCCATTTTTTTTTTTTAATTTTTGGTCCAAAAATGCCAATCAACAAAGACCCTTGTACTCCCCCGCCCATGATCGGCAAGATCGGCCCCTACACTGTCTTCGTTACCCCTCCTTCTACCCCTACCCCCAGTGAACCACCTATCTTTGAATCTCCCAAGAAGGTGGTGGCGCCTCCTGCTGCTCCTCCTAAGGTCCAGCCGCCTCCCCAACAGTTTGATAAGTCTTTTGTTGCTTCCCATTCTGATGGCTCCCTTCTGGGTTTCTTAAAAAATGCTGCCTTTAAGGTCCAAAATGGTATCTACTTTTTCTCTCCCCTTGTCATTTTCTTTTTTAAATCAGATTTGTTTTTGCGGTTAATTATAATGCATGGGTTTTTTTTGTTTTTTGTTTTTTTTTTTTAAGTTTAAAACGGAAATGAAATGGGTTCTATCTCGAAGCTTTACATTAGCATGACGGATTAGCTACAGTTTAATTGTTTTCATATTTGTTCATTTTGTTGACAATGAACAGAAAACATTGGTATTTCTATCCTTTTCCTGTTAATGTTTTGCAGCTCATTCAAGCTTGGATGACTATTTAGCTCGCTGGTTTGGCTTAAATCATTCCAAGTATCAGTGGGCATTGGACGATTATTATGAGAGCAAGGGATTGGTAAGTGTAGATAAATTTATTTCCTGGTGTACTTTAAAGGGAAAATTAAATTTTCAGACCACAACCTTTACCTCGTTTAGTTCGGTATAATTGCTTGGTTTGGTGAAAACAAAGTATTGCTGAAGCCTGAAGGTACTTGTGAAGTAGCTTATAAGTTATAAGGAGTTAACTTTTTTTTTTTTTTCCGGTTATAAACAATGATATATCCTTATTATGTCGTTCACATTATGTGACCCTAAAAAGTTGGAGTTTTTTATGATTTTTTTTTTTTTGTGTCTGTAAATATAGTTTAAAGTTGGTTGCTTGATCTTAGTTTAAAGTTTAGAGAAAAATAGTTCTCGATGAGTAGAAAGAGGGTAACAGGATTCATGTTTCCAGAAGGAGAGAGAGACAGGGGCTTACTGGTCTCTAAAGCAGATCTTATACATCTAAAACCTTTAAATTATTAGTGTCTGCCTAACTCTTGCAACTAAAGAATAAGTTATGTTCTTGCAACTAAAAATAACATTTAAAACTTGATTTCTTAGCTTATGGTTGTAGTCTTTTAGTGATTACCATCTAGAACTGGTTTTGGAAGGCTCTAGAATATTGGTATAATTTTTTTTTTTTAAACGAAGTGATGATGTTTTGAGGATGCATGATAATAAAATCTTGTCAATTTATTAAGTAACAGTATACTAACATTCGTCTAGAACCCATCATATTTTTGTTTAACTTGTAATGGATTCTTGCATGGTGTAATAGGTATGGCCATTGAGTTGGAATTACTTTATGAAGGCTAGACATTGCTGCATGATCTTTTGTGAGAGGTGGGGGCCGTAGTGAGCCTGATTCAAAGTGTTTTAGTTGCTTATCCTCAAATCAAATATTAAGGATTCTTGCTGCTTGAAACCACTAGCCTTTGGACAAAGCAAAGAATCCACTTTCAATTTGCCCTTCTTTGAGTTGAATGTCAAGATTTTGCATCTTGTGCATGTAGGATTTTGATGTTCTGTCTCTGTTTCTCTCTTCAGTTCATTTTTATTTGAAGCTCAAGGCAAAGTCTCTAATCTATCTTTCCATTCCTCTCCTAGAAGGTTATCTTGACCTAAACCCAAAATGTATAATTGTTTGCCAAAGTTCTTAACTACTCTAGTTTAAAGTCATGCGCACTGTTTGTTCTCAAGGTTATGCACAACAATGGGAGCTTGTGGTCATTATCTTTCAGGCCATTTAAGTGTGATGAAATTTCAGCTAATTACTTGTAGCTTGCTAATTTATTGATGATTTTAGCATAGCAGCAAGGTACCTCCAGCTACTGAACATATTCTAAGTGATGAACTTTTTTGCTATTAAGGTTCCCTGACTCATATGTCGCACAAGCAATTGATGTTCAAACTTATTTGTATCTAGCTAGTTTTAAGTTTTAAATTTAAAAACTGATACCAACGTATGTTAAATACTCCACCCCCTCTCCACACTTTTTCCCCTCAATATAGTTGAAAGTACTTTTAACATCATACGTTTGCAAAAATTACTAATTGGCCTGTTGATTATCTGGACAGATTGCAATACTATTATAGTTTCTTATAGTGGCCCAGAAAATATTGTATTTCCTTTATGGGATTTGGTGCTTTATTCCTTAACCCTAAAAGAATAGACCATAATTTCACTTTCACTTTGAATCTTATCAAAGTAAAACAACTAGTAAGGCTCTGTTTGGTATTGTTCTTGTTTTGTGTTTTATGGTTTTTTTTTTTCTTTTCTTCTGAAAACTACAACAAAAATGCGTTTGGTGAGCATGTTTTGTTTTCAAAAGTAAAAAAAAAAAAAAAGGAAATTGTTGGAAGCAGCAACTTCATGTTTCCCCAACAACTTCTGAAGTGTTTTTGGCATTGTTATCACGCTGGTGAACAGTGGCTGTGCAGCTATAGTGCCAAAATCTATGCATTAAAATTGCATAATTGAAGAGAAGTTGCAAGGAGAGAATCAAAATTTGAACCCTTAGCACTTCCTTGGGTCAAGCTTTAACCACTTTGATTTATATATTGTTGTCAGATTCTTGCAATGTAAACATACTAGCCAAACATGTTTTCGATTTCAACAAATTGAAAATAAAACAAAACAAAAACTTTTGAAAACATAAAACAAAAAATTGGAGACAATTATGCTCTAAAGATGTCTTAATCATCATATTTTCATTCTTTAGTGAATTACAGTATGGAAAGGGGGCATTTATAACATTTTAGACCTGCTTTACTTGGGTGATATTTGATCCTAGTTGTATTAAGCTTTGACTTTTTGGTTGGAATGGCCATGTAAAGAGGGAATAAAAATTAGAGAATAGAGATAGAACAAGATCATATTTTTGGTTCACTATGTATAAATCTTCAGATTGGTGTTCCTGTACTTCGACTACTTTTATCTACACTTATATTCTTCTTGATTAGTGTAGAAAAGTTTGAATTCATGCTGTGGTTGCCACCTTTCATTTTTTTTTTTTGGCTAAAGAGCCAAAAATGCTCTTGAATTAGAAGTCAATAATCATTTAAGCTCTTAATATTTTATTGCAATCAATCAAGCCTTTTTTCAATTTGGACTCAATTGAACCATTAAATGAATGGAATCTAATCACGTGGCAAAATTTAATCAACTAACCCCGAACTATAGTTAATTGAACCCTTAAAGGGATCCTAGAGAGAGAGAGAGGGATACAGAAAATAGGGAAGAAAAAGATAAGGAAAAAAATTATTTTATTTAATTGTTACATATATTAATTGTGTCACATTTCAAACTTTAATCTGTTTTATTGATGTTAGATAGAATTTTATCTTATTTGGTAAAAAAATAATGGTGTTAATTTTGTTCATTCAAATAAGGGTTTAATTGAATGCAAATAGATGTTGGAGAAAATGATTGATAACAATTAAAAAAATTAGATCTTGGATGATTTTTTAATTATAATTCTGAGGCTTTTTTAACCTTTTAGCTTTTTTTTTTGTTGGAAGTGCTACTTGACAGTTAGATTACTATATGATTTTACATGGTCAACTTAATGTCTATAGGTGATAAAGCTAATTGAAGTGCATTGCTTTTAGTTCATATAATTGTTTTCACTATTCTAAGTTTACTTGTTATTTTCATCAGGACTACTTGATGCTTATGATATTGACTTAAACATTTTAAATTGTTTTTATTGCAGGAAAAGGAAGGTGTAAAAGTGAAAGAAACATCTAGCAAAATACAGACTGTGTAGCATACTTCTTGGGCTGGTAATGAAATATTTGAAGTCTTCTCTTTTCCTTTTTCTGTTATTTTCCTTTAGCAAAGTTATTTATATATAATGAGGAAGTTTTAATCACAGTGGGTGTTGTTCTGCAGAACTTGCACCAAGTGAGGATGCTTGTTGTGTCTCTTTTTTGCATTATATCTATATATTTAATGGAAGGAATGGGCAAAAGACATTTGGATTCTTGAAGGGAACTTTGAAGACATGTGGGGATCAGATCAGATTGAATGTGCTTCTCTACCTACTATTGCAGCAGCTAAACTGAAGCTTGTTTGTGTACTAGGCTAGGAGTTTGTGTAATCTCCTTGCAAAGTCAATTTCTATCAGTGAGATTGCTATAAACTGTCAAGGACATACTCTTCATGTATTGTATTTTTATTTTATTACAAGCATCGTTTTGTAGCACTAATTTCTCATTCATGCATCTTTTTTAAATCTGATGATTCTTATATTTCTTGTGTATAAAATATATTAAAATTCGTGTATTCATATTGTATGTTACATGAAAATTACATGTCATATTGCAACAATTTTAAGTCATTATTTTTGTATTTTATTTTCATATTATATTCGTGTCATGTTATTATATCGTGTTTTAAATTATTAAATCTAAATTTTTTCTTTTCATGTATGTATGTTCAGTTAGGGATGTATTTAGGATTTATATTCAATTTGAGCAAATTAATACACTTAATATTTAATATAAATATAAATATATATAAATATAAATTAACTCAAATGTATCAAAAGGTTTTTTATTTTTTATTTTATTTTTTACAATTATTCTTTACGGTTTCCATAGTTTGGAGATAAGTTCTTCAAATCTTGTCTTTTTCAATGGGATGATAATTTAATTTTTTACTTCGTAATCTGAGATCCAAAGGAATAAAATCAAGTTTCTTTTGGCAAAGGAAGGTTGAAGCGGAATTGTTAGTGATGGAAATTGAATTTAGTTTTGTGGGAATCAATCTTTTTAAAAAGGTAGGAGAATCATTTAGACTAAGTGTTTACATCATCTAAGATTAATTCAACGCAAATTTTTTTTGTACAATACTATGCGCTACTAGATTTGATTTAGGATAAATCTTTCAAAATATATTTCTATATAACTAATTGAATTAAATACTTCAATTTATATAATTTTTAAAAAGTAGGAAAATATATTCAAATGTAATTATGCAACCAACGAACAACAAACATATTTTATTATATATTTTAAATTTTAATTAATATATTAATTTAGTATAGGACAAATAACTTAAAAAAATTAAATTACTTCATTAGCCTACATCATGAAATAGAATGCAAGGTTGTAACTATCGTATTGGAAAAAGTGTGGATTTTCTCTAAAAACTAATATACATTGATAGAACGAAATAATTATATATATATATATATATATATTACACAAAAAAGCTAAAAAATAATAGAACGAAATAATTGGTATCTATGTATATATATATATATATATAAATCCTTTTAAATGTGTCTAAAAACTTATGAAATATCATTAATAATAAGGCAAAAAATTAAGATTTATGTCATTTAACATTTCAAATATCTTTTTAAATATTAATCAAATCTTATATATATATATATATATATAAATTATATACTTACCTGATAAGATTTGTTTATGTATAATTTTACGTGAACAATCTATATTTTTAACAAGTATGATAGTTCTTTAGTTATAGTTACCTACCAAATAACCTTATTATTTAAAATCATTTATATATATATATATATATATGATTTGAGGTCAAATTATACTAGTATAAGAGTTACATTTTTTTGGACTTTTTGATCTGATTTAAATCTATAAAACTTATGCTTAGCCATTTATGTCAATATAAGAGTTATATACTTTTTGGACTCTTTGATCTAAATTAAATTTATAACACTTACACTTAGACATTTAGATTCAAAGGTCCAAAAAAGTGTGTAACTCTTATATTAGTGTAAGTTAATTCATTTTCTATATGTATATATATAAAGTAGAGATCCACCTACATTAGTGTAACTGTTGTATGCTTTTTTGATCCTTGGATCAAAATTATATCCATTACACTAATATTAAATCATTTTTGATCCAATGGTAAAAAAAAAATGTAACACTTATATTAATATAAGTAGATCCATCATCATATCATATCATATATATATATATATATATATATATAATAAGATACATGCTTAAATGATACGGTTTACTTATGTATAATCCTATGTGAACAATCTATGTTATTGGCACGCATGATAGTTATTTAGTTGTAATTGCCTATCAAAAAACTTTATTATTTAAAATATAAAAATATAAATCTTAAAAGTTAGACTTATCAAAATTTATTAGGTTAAATAATTTATAATCTTTATTTTTATTTAAATGAAATAAGGCTTTATCATTCTAATGAAAAAATTAAAAATTAAAATCTCATTTAAGATTAATCTGATTTTTTTATATAGAAATATACATATTTTTTATTTTGCATTTGACTTATGTAAGTACATTGTAAAACAATTTTGAATATTTGGAGTTCATTGTTATTATTATTTATTATTATTATTATTATATGTTCAATAAAGAATGAATATATTTAGATATTACATTCTTATTATTAAATTTGTAATATATTTTTAAATATTTTTATCTTAATTCAATCAATTTTTGTGTAATAAGCAATAAAACTATATGCATGCATGAAAGATGTGCATTGTTATAATTTTATCATGTACAGAAATATATAATCAATTCACTTTAAATTATTTTTCAATGTATAAATTTAAGTAAAGTGTTATAAAAAATTTTCTTTAATAAGATAAATAAGAACATAGGTCCATAACAACATATAATTCTTATAGTTATTTTTTTATTTGCATTATAATAATATTTTTTTTCAATTTTTCATATGTCCTATGATGTATATAGAACAATGGTAATTATCTTTAAAATTCCTTAAGAAGATTATTAAGAATAAAATACATGAAAAAATATTTTTTTATATAAATGGTGAATTAAAATTTTGGTGTTAGGTTAGATCAACATCATGTAGATAAGAAGATAATAGCATATGATAAAACATTCAGTAATCAAGTAATTAATTTTTAATTAAAATAATATATTTAAAAATAAATTAAATTAATGATTTTTTTACTATAAATATGCAAAAGAAAATAATTAAAAAACAAAAATTATTCTCTCCAAATTTAAAATCATACATATCTTTTTTATCTTTTTCAATTTTCATACCTTATTATTAGTTTCTTTTTAAATTTAAAAACATATATCACTTTATGTCCATAAATGATATTGGCTACATCCTTTTTTTTTTTTCGGTGTTCAATTTCCCTTTGAGATGTATATTGCTTTTGTGATTTTGTTGTTTATTTTACTTAAATGATTTCTTCTTTGGACATTATTTTTATTAAATTCTTTTTTGTTTGTCACATATTTTTTAATTGATTTTTTTAGTATTTTGATCAAGATCATAATTTAGTAAAGGTATATTAATACTTTTATTTATTTAATTAATTATTCAATATTATATTTTAATGTTATTCTAAAAACCAATATTATATTTATATATATATTTTTTACTTTTTGGTCTATATCTAATCTCTTTTTTTTTATTTCTTTTTTTTTTTTCAGTATTTTGATTAAGGTAATAATAATAATAATAATAAAAATAATAAAAATAAAGTTTAGTTTTCTTATGATATGTTAATTGAATATATATTTGTATTTTATATGTCATAAAATTTTAAAAACTAAGATATAATTATGGAAAAAAATATAAATTTTGCAGCATAAACATGTTTAAATAAGTAAAATAATCCATACACCACATATATCACAAACTAATATATATGTATATATGTATATATGTTTAGCATATAACAAATAAACACCAATTTACATCAAACAAAAATAATATAAAAATACCAAGAATAAGAAAAATAGATGCATATAATTTTTAGATTTAAATATATAGGGAAAATATAATATAGATAAATACATAACTATAGTTATAAAACCCAACACAAATAGTTATCTAAGTTCACGCTTGGTACATAGGATGATGAATAAAATATAATGCTAATCATTCTATATTTTGTTTGATTTATATTTAAAGAAAGGAATGAGATTATAAAGAGGATTAATTATTTTCTTGATATAAGATGATTTAATCCTTCCAAAGTAAAAATGATTATTTTTAAGCTATGAGATTAAATTTACATGTCTTATTATATCTTTAAAACTTATATCAATAATTTAAATTGTATAAACTTTAAAGAAAGATAATTTTGACTAATAAATAAATTGTTTTATTCTAATATACACACATAAAATACAAGATATGATGATACTATTTAATCAATCCCATTCATAATATCACGTTATCCTATTTTATCCGATCATAATCTTGTGTACCAAATACATCATAAATGTTTTTCTTATTCTCATTTTCTTCTTTCCAAACCAAGCAACCGGTTGCAAACTTTTTTTTTTTTAAGTCAACAGCATTTTATTGCTTAAATAGAGGAACCAAATTTTACAGTTAGGTAGAGTTGTTCATAATAAGAGCAAAACAAAAGTATTTAAACAGAACTATCACAAGGCATATGCAGATATTAAGTCACAATTTTATATTTCTTTTGGACTTAATATTAAACTTGTAAGGCTTGGTATGTGAGGGCCTTAGTTAGCTTTTAAATCTCTATTTCTGTTATTTTACTTACGAAGAAAGTAAGCTGTCATCCGAGCATCTCAGGATGTAGTTGTCATTCTATTAGTTGCTTACAAAAGACTAGGAGGAGGAGAATTATTCATTAAAAAATGCAATTATGAAATCAATTTCTCTTTCTTTGAAATTCCTTTTCATTGTTATTATTCTTCTTCCCCAATTAATCTTCTTCCTTTTAATTTCTTCTGGATTCTTTTTTACTAATTTATATTTCTGTTAAACAAATTTTGGTTTGCATTATTTGGTATTAGAGTCACCAACTAGACACTAGTGATGGAAAGAGTCACCACGAGAATGTAAAAAGAGATCCAATAGAATGCTTAAAAGATTCCCAAAATTAAGAATGACTTCAACTGAGGGATGCAAAATTGGAACAAAGAATTGCACATATGGAGCAAAAGATCCATGGAATGGGGGCTCGACTGTTGGAGGAATTAAATAAGATGCTTGATACAGCTTCAAGGGATGGAAGTTCTACGTTTACTTAACAGGAAAGTGACCAAGCCTCTAGTAACAGGATTGAGAAAAAGTTGGGAAAAGAACTAGTTATTTTGCAATAAGGAACCCAAGCTATCTTCTAGAGATGCAATCATCAATAGCTTCCAACCTACAACTCAGAACATGTATTTAACTCTTGAATCTCTTAGATATTTTAAATGGGAGTGCCCTAAGTTTTCTAGAAAGGATTTTAAAGGTTGGTTTATGAAACTTGAACAATATTTTAAGGTAGAA